ATGCGTTTGAAAGCTTTTTACAACTCCAAATTCATGTGTAAAGAATCATTTTTGGTACATTTTGCTCTAAAACTGTTGACCTAGACCACAGAGAAGAGTTATATTGAATTGTTACACATCTAAGAGTTATAGGGAATAATCTAGCAAAAGTCCGAACTCGATACATGACTAAGGGAATGAAATATCAAATATGTTGATTTCTATGATATTGAGCCCGCAGTTTTTCCTATTCCCGATTCATTCGAAGTCCTATAGCTTTTGTTCCTGTTGAACCTACTTCCTGAAAATCAATAGCGTCCGTCCTTAATATCCAAAGTACCCGTACCCCAAATTTCAACACAATCGGCCACTTTTAAAAAGAGTTATAGCGCACACAGACGGACGGACGGCCGACAATACAAAACTATAAAGGATCTGATCGTTAATAACAAGTAAAAAGGTTTTCACCCTAAGGCGAGTAACTTCAGCGCATTTTCCGTTTATGATCAGTACTTCCCAAAATGCCATAGCTATGTGCTCTGTGATTTTCTTTACTAGAGGCATATATGGTTAAAATTTCAAAGAAATATCTCCAACAAAAAAGGCGCCGTTGCGCAGTTCGCGCATGAGCACATTTAATTTATGCTATACAGAGACTTGCTATGCTATAGGTATACGATGTTTGTTTTTACTAAAAGCGTTTATGGTTAAACATTAGAGAGAGATTTTCGTAAGTAAAAAAGTTGGCATTTTGCAGTCTGCGCATGCGTGGATTTGATTTTTACTATGTGCGATATGTTCACTTTTCCTAATGACATTTTGTAGTTTTCGATTTTTACCATGTGATATGTTTTTCTTTACTAGAAGCATCTATGGTTAAAATTTCAAAGAAATATCTTGATAAATAAAGAAGTTGGCACTGACTGCGCATGCCCACGTCTAATTTTTGCAATGTCAGTTATGTTTGCCTTTAACGGAGGCATCTGTGATTAACATTTCAAAAAGATATCTCGATAATTCGATAAATAACAGTAGATATTGGGCATCCTGCGCATGCGCACATTAATCTGATGTTTACAATATGTGATACGTTTGCTTACACTAAAAACAGTTTTGGGTAATATTTCAAAGAAATATCTCCATAAATAAGAAAGTTGCCATGCGCACATCTGATTTTTACTATATGCGATATGTTTGTCTTCACCAGAAATATCTGTGGTTAAAATCTCAACGAAATATATAAATAAATCAGAAACTTGTCATTGCGCAGCCTGCGCATGCGCACATTAATCTGATATATACATAATGCGATACGTTTGCTTACACTAAAAGCATCTTTGGGTAAAATTTCAAAAAAATACCTCCATAAATAAGAAAATTGCCACTGCGCATTCTGCGCATGCGCAGTTTAATTGGCAAGATTTTTCTTGGCTCAGGTGCTAGAGCTATACGCTACCGAATGCAAAATGAAACTTAATATCTTGAAAACTGTAGGAGTAGTTAAGGCCTCGGACAGACGGACGGACAGAGAAAGTGGCTGCAATAGCGCATAACGAAGATGCGCTAAAAAAGAGTGGATAGCACCAAACGCGTTTCAATCAATGAAACTGTGTCTTCCACGAATCCACAAGCGATGACAAACGACCATTAAAAACAGTAATAGGTACTATTCAAATTAATAAACATAGTATAGAAATTATGAGGTCAAAATCTGAAGAAATAAGTTTCATATATGTTCATTCCTTCAATTTCTTTAAATCTCCACACGCCTTAACTGAGCGGTTCTTGAAGCATTATGTCACAAATTAGTTCCCAGCCAAGCAGGGCTGATCACCAGAAGATCTGCCATGGGCCTGATTAGCTCTAAAAAGGATTCAAACGGATCTAAGAAAGCAATAAAAAGTTATAAGGTTCTGTTAAGCTTGGGAAATCGCTTGGAACGTTACGGTAAGCCTCAGGATGCCTTCCAGTGTTTTCTATAGCATCCTATTTTCGTTCAACAAATCCTCGAGGAGGACCACAGACTTTCCAGAGTAGGAAGTGTATTAGAGGCCCTAGAAAGCGCCTGAGAAATTAGCATAATAACTTAGGGAAAGATACCCTTTCTCGTCGTAGAGAATAGGCGTACAAGTTAATTTTTGTTAGTTTACAGATCTGATCTGTAAATCTAAATATCCATATGGGAATTCGAAGGCATTACCAAACCTTTCTGGAAATTTAGAATTTACAGATCTATCCGGACGTTTATATGCATACATGCGTGTCCAACGAAGAAGTGAGTCGATTACCTATTATATAAGACTATTTCGAATAGATTTCTGAAAAGTTTTGCATGTGGATTATTTTATGAATTCTTTTTGGCCCCGCTGCAAAATAAAGAGAAGTACGCACTGCGGGTTAAATTGTGTCTCAGTCACAGTTACGCTAATGGAGTCTCAAAAAGTCTACGCAATGTTTTTTGCAGTTTCCCCGTTAAAATTGTTGAATTGAACAAAATTTTGCTCTACTAACTTAACCAAAATGGAAGTACCGAGTGATTCATTAGAAGTGAGGACAGTTTGAATTTCCCGCAAATCAAAAAAATTATGACTGATGATCATTTATTTAATTGCAGTGGTGTATCATCATGCTTTCAGTAACCATAAAGAAAATAAACGACTCAATTCCTCAAAACCTTCCCCATGGATATTTAATTGTTGATAGACAGATATATTATATCATAATTAGGATTAGAAAGAATGTCTTTTTCAAAAATTTGGAAGAATACTTCAAAAACCGTTCGCGTAAACTCGTAAAGCGAATATCCCTTGTATCAAATTTTTCCTATTTTGAATAAATTTACAGAAATGACTGAAGAACCTGCCAGTTAACGAAGTGTGATCATGACCAATTTCCAACATAATGGGAAGTCGTACAAACCTGAAAATATTTTACCTCGATCGGGTTTGATTGAATAAACCATATCCATTCAGGTATCGACTCAGTTGGACAATCTTGACATCCGTAAATTAGTAAAAAAATAACTGGTGTGGCCTTTCTACCCTTCCGTAAGTGGATCACCTTGCCAACACATCGTAGCTTGGCATAATATAAAATTGTTGGTTTGTGCTCTAGAGATCGGGAAGATACAACATGAATGTTATTCCATGCCATTCGTACACAATAATTTGGAATTATTTATATTTGTGGTCAAAAATAAGGTACGTATTATGTTAAGTTGTATGTTGAAGATTAAAGGTTAAAATCTGTGGTATTCTGTTGTTTTAAACGTTTTAAGGATTACAACCAAAAGTTGCGCACCATAAAAAGAAAAGAACCATTAAGATATAAAACGCTGAAAAATACAGGTTCCACTATACGGATTTGAAAAATAAGAAGACAACACCATACACATGTAATCAATAAAAACTGTCAAACGTGAATATCGGTCCTCGAAATCGTGACGAATACATTTTTGGTAAAGTTCGAGATCCGATAAAGCAGGTAGAGAAGACAATTAAGAACGCTTTTTTACAACATCTCTTGCAGTAACAATGTTTAATAATTTTCAAAATCAAGTAATACTCCACCGAAATGGCTGACAGGTAATAGTTTATAAGTTGCAAATGACCTTTACAAGGCACCTTTCACGATATCGGCTTCCACGAATTGTTCAAAGGAATTCTTGATCACCGAATTCAAACATTTAGATACGTATCAGAAGTGAAAAATTCAACAGGTGTTGTGAATGTACCTATCTATACAGGGTGCGGAAAGACGCTTATAGATTATTATTATTATTTAAAATAATTGGATAAACGATAAAATTAATATCAAATGCGTATAATAAATTAGTATCCTCTTTGTAAAAACACCGACCGCTGTTTATATTTGATGAATTTAAATTCCATTATTGGAATTGTACAAATCGATTCTGAATTCATGAACGCTTTTTGTTTCGAGAAAATTGCCTTTGAAAAATGAAAGCTATACTAATATTTTCTTGTTAGAAAGGAGAAAAAGCGACCGTATTTATTTTCAGTTGATTAATATTAACTACTACTTCAGCATGTCACAATGACAGCAGTACATAACATTATCAAAGGCTTTAAACATGTTTTCAAACAGCTGTCACAAAATCTTGGTTTCATTTATTATTTTGTTTGCTGTCATTAGCATTAGACTTTTTCGGATGATAAATCTCTACAATAAAAAATTATATTTAGTTATGTCTAAGTAACGATATAATTCACGGAGGAATGTCTTTTTTCAACACCAGAAAGTAGATTAAAAAACGACAAGCACTTTCCTCAAACAATTATTGCGTAATAATTTTAGCTTTGAAACGCGATTTTGCTGAATGTTTAAACCACTAAAATAACCTTTTTATCTAGTTTGATAAGTAAGCAAGATCAAATTGAAAAATGCCGTTTTATGCAGACGAGGGAGACCGTGAAACATTGAGTAGGGATCGATAGGATAAATTTTTTTTGAAAAAAAATTTCCGTAGTGAATTTATATTTTGTTAAACATATGCCGCTTCATAGCGAACGTGAGCGAATGTATTTCTGGCGATAACATGCGAATAGCGATAGCAATTGGAGAAAGCGAGCGCGGTTGCCACGATTTAATTATTAGAGAAGGTACGACCGCGAGTCAGTACCAATTTGGGTAAGTACAAATTCAAGTCAATACAAAAGATTTTCGTTTTAACTTCAGGAGCGGCCACGTATAAATATCGGTGTGTGAAGATTGGTGGTTCGATTTCAAGAACCAGAACGCTGAATTAGTTGATCAAATCTATTTGGGCCGCTGCAAAGTTTATCAGTTTAACTTTGAGTAAAAAAAACATATTAGTGTTTATTTATTTTATTTTTGGCCTTTATATATTAAATGGGCGGGGTTTCAACCAAGACTGCTATACCAACCCAACTCACTGTACATTCAACAAATATTCATGGCCGAACCTGGATTCGAACCAGAGACCCTTGCTACCGCAACTGAGCTTCAACTCCACTGCACCACACGGGTCGGCCTTCAAATTACGTGTTAAGTGGCGAAACTTCCCAAATTTCGAGTACGTCGTGGTGAAACGCAAGTTCGGATTTGTAAAAAGTTGTGGGTGACCTGAAATTTAATACGTGTGAGAATAGCAGTTGAATGCGGGACGAGAAAAAACCCTAACAGCTCGATTTGTAGCAAGGTCTGTTTATTTACAAGTGATAAAATGTACGCGAATGAACATTTTCGAATCAGTGAACCACTTTTCAAATAAAAAACGGAAACAGATTTTGTGTTGCATTTATTGATAAGAATCGAATCCAAACAAAAGATTTTAATTATTTTGTTTCATTGATTGGGACTTTGTATTTAATTTCAATGATACCATTCCTCTCATTGGATTAACATTTTGTTTCGCATTTAGGATCAAATTTAGCATGAACAGGAAATATGCATTGTGTGTTTTTATTTTGTGAATCAGGAACCAGGAACGTGTGAAGGGATATGGAAATTGATCGCCTTTGTTTTCATGAATATATTTAAGCAATTAAAATATGCGTATTTATAGTTGAATCAAACCAGTTAGATGTTGAATGTCAGATCTTGAGAGAAGATAAAGGACCAAATTTCCGCAAGGTAAGGGGGTATAAAAAACATTCAGCAGGTCAGGTAGGGTAAGTCTGGCTATTTGCACATAGGTATACCGATTTTGAACGGCCGATTTTTTACCGGCCGTCCAAATTTCAATAGTGAACCACGGAGGGCAACGAGGCCTGACATACACGCCGACTGCTGATCGGTGCCGACAAAATGCCAGCGAACAGCAGGCCACTGTGTCAATGGCCTACGTAACTAAATACACGCCTGCACACACACCGATTGTTTACCGACCGTCCTCAGCAGTTTTCGCTATCGCCAGCTTCTATTCCAGGCGACTGCTCTGTTGATATAGGACTACATTTTGGTAGTGAGTGCTGATTTTTGTAGTGCGTTTTAATTGCGTTTGAAAATATTGCAATGGGTGACTTGATAGACAATGATGTTCTTATAGTAGGAGAGCTGGCAGATATTTTTGGGTAGGTATTTGAGGCACGCCGAAAACTTGTCCAATACTTCTCCAGTAATACCCAAAAACATAGAATTGCAGACCTGTCTGTGGAATAGCGGGGATAAATTAACCCTTGTATTTTTAAAGATACGAATTTTTTGCAAAAAATGTTCTTGGGACATTTCTTTAAAAATATATAAGGGTTGATTTAGCCCCGATAATCCTTAGCCAGGTCTCCAATTCTGTGTTTGGGTATTATTGGAGAAGTGTTGGACAAGTTTTAAGCGTGACTACCTATTATTTCGTTAGTGGAAGCAAGACCTGTTTTATGGGAAAAAACGTTGGACAGAAGTTCTGAAAAATGATTTTGAGGATCATTTGACCGGTAAAAATCCGTTATGTTTGCAAGCACCTGCTACCGATAAAATATCGGCCGTCCAAAATCGGTGTGTATACAAATACCCTAATGCTACGAGCGCCAGCGGTCACGGGCACGAAAATAGTAAAACGCTCGAAGGGGAATGACTGGAGAGAGCACGGGTTCCCTCATTCCTCATACGCACGCACAACATAGTGCTAGTACAGAAAACGGAAAACATCCCCAACTTCTAACTTTGTTGGGGGGGGGGGGGGGGGGCAGACAAAATTTATTCGAAAAAACAAAAGAATGTTACTCGTTGGTGCTGGCTAGCATACTAGGTTAGCAGAACACAAAACGTCAAAATTTTACAAAAATGGTTTAATAACCATGATATGGGAGAAATTCTGAAAAAGAATGGCGTGATTCAGCGGTTGGCGACTCCTTATACTCCCGAACAAAACGGGAGTCCAGAGAACCGGAGAATCGTGGAAATGGTCCGTATTTTCGAGTATGCAAACCCCGACGTCAAATTTGAGCGAAACTAGCCCAGAACAAAAAACTTAGAAGGGAAACGTAAACGGGAACAACTGAGTACAAATATAATTAGTTTGGAGAACATTCAATAGATGGCGCATGTTAAAGTTACTAAATCTAGTGACTTTAGTGCGTGTGCGCCATTATGACAGTTGAATTTTGAATTTTGATTAACGGCTTATTGTGCTTTAAGTATAATTACTATTCATTATTACAATGAATTATGCATATACAAGTCGAGAACGTAAATGTTGTGTGACAAATTGTGAAGACGTTTCCCAAAAATGGAGCCCGAAGTTTTTAAGAATTGGTTTAGAATAATGTGGAAGAAATTTACACAAAATTTTTTGGTTTGTGAACGTCATTTTTCTGACTGCGCTTTAGAACCTGGAACACGAAGAGATTTAAAGCGTGTGGCAGTTCGCACATTATATTTAGCAGGTAACACTAATTGAATTGTAATAAATTGTTACATAAGTATTTTGTTTTTAGAGCGATCTCGAGAGCATCATACAGTAGATAGTTGATCTTGTATCTTGTATAATCATATTAAATTAAATATAACTCCTTGATTGGATTAATTGGAGTTGTTACTTATAAAACAAGTGCCCTGTACTCTTTGAAGGCCTTGACTGGTGAGGTGCATCCGCATTGAACTGAATTCATTTGGATCCCTAACAAACAAAATTGGACTTCACTGGCTGGATTCATTTACCTTTTAGGTTTCAGCTAGTCAAATCCAATGTTATTGTTACAGATCCGGAGAAATTGGTATAATGCGGACGTTGTTCAAAAGGTGTAAAGGAAACATAAGGAATTGTCACTTACTGTTTGGTATTCGACTTCCTTTTCTTCGGGAGCTCCCTGCGGTAAACACCTTTTTCTGGGTTTCTAAGCACTTGCGTTGTAGAATCGCAATTTTAAATCGACGTTATAAGGATCGCTCGCGTTACGCGCCTCAACGAAACCAAAAGTGATCTCCTGGTAAGGATAGCAAGGAAGGGGAATGCGTTACTTCTCCCACTTAACTTTAATTTGAAATTTAACTAAATTTGAACATACCCCCCACCCAAATGACATATTTGCCAAAACAAATATTAAACAAAAAAAATTTGAAGCGTTAATTAATGAAAAAAAAAAAAAAAATTCCGACTGGAACGATTGATTTGTTACACATAAATTAATTCTGTAATTTTAATAAAGAAAGAAAAAAAAAAAAAAACTATATATTTCTAAGGTGGTGGCAAAATCGCCACCTTATTTAAAGGGCGTTGAATTTCACCCGTAGAAGTTCGAATCTTTGCAACTCTAGCAATTCCGTCCGCTCCAAATATTAATTTGATAATTCTGCCAATAGGCCAATGAGTAGGTGGAGCGTCCGGATGATACCATAATACCAAATCTCCTTCTTTTATTTGTGGAGAAGATTGGGTCCACTTTGGTCTTTTCTGAAGTGATTGTATATACTCATTAGACCAACGTTTCCAAAAAGATTGTACCAATTGCTGTGATAGTTGCCACTGTGATAAACGATTTTGGGGAATATTTGTGATATTTACTTCAACGCGAGCCAATAATGGTCCACCAATCAAGAAATGACCTGGTGTTAAAGGATCTAAGTCGTCATCTGGCGAGGAAGATAAGTTACAGAACGGTCTAGAATTTAAAATTGCCTCTATACGGGCAACGGTAGTCAAAAATTGCTCTAAGTGTAACCTAGCGTTACCTACTATGCGTTTGAGGTGATATTTAAATGATTTAACACCCGCTTCCCACAATCCGCCCATATGAGGTGCATAAGGTGGATTATGTTTCCATGTAATGTTACGAGAGGACAAATAATGAGAAATTTCAGTATTTGATTCATCAAAAAATTTTGTAAGTTCGGAAATTTCTCTTGCTGCACCCCTAAAGTTAGAGCCCTGGTCACTATATAAATGACCTGGAAGGCCTCGCCTAGCAGTAAATCGGTCTAGAGCTGACAAACAAGCCTCGGTAGTTAAAGAAGTCACAATTTCTAAATGTATAGCTCTTGAAACCATACATATAAATAACGCAATGTAACATTTTTGATATCGTTCGTTTCTTAATTTAGAAATTTTTACCTCAAATGGTCCTGCATAATCTAGCCCTGTGTGAGAAAAACATCTCCCTGGATCCAAACGATATGCAGGAAGATCCCCCATCGGTGGCTGAATTGGTTCCGCAGCAAAACGGTAGCATGTTAAACATCGAAAAATTCGCTTTCGTATTAATACTCTCAAGCTTGGAATCCAGAAGTGGCGAATAATCAAAGAATGTACTAATCGTGGCCCTCCGTGACCAGACCAAATATGAAAGTGATCACAGATTAATGTCGCCAGCCTACTATCGCTTGGAATCAGGTATGGATGCTTTTGTCGTACGGAAAGTTGAGAATGCCTCAAACGCCCCCCCACCATTAAATAACCCTCTTCAGAAAGGAAGGGAGAAAGCAATCTTACTTTCTTAGTACACGCCAAACCCCGTTTTATTAAATCTATTTCGTTAGACAAATATGTGACTTGCGTTATGCGTATTGCTAGAAGTAAGCCGTTTTGATACTCGGATGCCTTAAGGGGACCAACTAACCAATTTGTTTTAGATATATTACGCCTTTTTTCTATCCAATTTTTACAAAATCTAATGACATATCCAAAAATACGTTGAACCTTTAAAAGAGACGAGAATTTATCCAAAATTTTGTTAAAGGGACTATAATCAATTTTCGTTATTAATAATGTTTCCGATATGTCTTTAATTTCCGCTAATGGAACTGGCAACTTATATTTGAAATTCCATTGCCTTTCCTCTTCAAAAAGAAAACTTGGCCCTTTCCACCACAGTTCACAAGATATCAATTCTGCTGGAGTAAGACCCCGACTAGCCGGATCAGCAGGGTTCAGTTCACTGGGTACATACCTCCAACGAGCAGTAGGTGCATTGTCTTGAATTTGCACCACTCTATTTGAAATGAAGGTTTTTAATTTATATGGAGGCGTGTTTATCCAACCCAATACTGTAGTGGAATCTACTAAACAAATAGAATCCGTTAAGCTGATAAGCGGTTTACAAGCCTCTATTGTGGTAATTAATAGTTTGGACAGTAGACACGCAGCACCTAGTTCCAGTCTCGGAATCGTCCAAGATTTTAATGGAGCCACCTTAGTCTTAGCAGACACCAAATTAACTAAATAGAAACCATTTGCTTTTATTCTTAAGTATAAAACTGCGGCCATCCCTAAATTACTAGCGTCCGAGAATCCTATTAAAGTAGCACAGGAAATCTCCGTTTTATAAATGCATCTAGGTATAGCTAAACTCTCAATTAGGTGTAATTCAGATTTAATAGCTGTCCACTTCCCCATAATATCGTTGGGTAAGGGATCATCCCATTCTAATTTTAATAACCATAATCGTTGTATTAAGGACTTTAGCAAAAATGTAAAAGGACTCAAATACCCGTTAATATCGTACGTTCGTGCCACCCTAGATAATAAACCCCGTTTCGTTGCAGGTTCGTTTATGCCTTGTATTTTATACTGAAAAACATCCTTTTTTGTTTCCCAAAACATTCCTAAGACTTTTACAGCTGATTGTATGGTCCCCATCGGTAATTCTAAAGACCCTTCTAAATTTTGTATAATACCCTGATCTGATGATGACCATTTACCCAATTCGAAACCCCCAGCTTTTAATAGACTTATAAGCTGACGTTTTAACTCGAGCGCTTCCGTTTTGCTCGTAGCCCCCGTGAGAATATCATCAACGAACGTTTGATGAGATAAAGCTAGTGCCGCTTTGGGGTAATATCTGCCTTCATCTTCCACAAGTTTTTGTATAGTACGATTTGCAAGAAAAGGCGATGATGTAGCTCCAAATATCACTCTTGTATGCTCCCATTCCCTTATGGGTTCGTTAGGATTAGATCGCCAGAATATATGAAAATATTTCCTATCATCGGGATGTACAATAATGCACCTAAACATCTGACGAATATCACAGGTTACAGCTACCGGTCTAAGTCTAAATCTCGTTATAACTGCGGAAATTTCTTGGTGTAATTTAGGCCCCGCCAATAGGCAATCGTTCAGAGAACTACCCTGTGTATCTCGCTCTGTAGGATTAAAAACCACCCTAATTTTAACATCGTCCTCGTTACGTTTCAAGACCCCATGATGAGTCATGATATATGAAGACCTCTTAGCACTAGGAACTAAGTGGCCTTGTTCAATATAATCTTTTATGTTATCAGAATAAAGGCAAAAATAATTTTTATCTTTTTTAAAACGAGATTCTAATTTGTAGAATCTATTAAGAGCAAGTTCCCTATTACTGCTTAATTCGGGACCTTCATTACGAAATGGAAAACGTACAATATACTGACCTTTATCGTTTCGTTTAGTATGCGTTTGAAAATGAGACTCACAAAATTGGTCTTCAGGTGAAACGACTTTAGGTAGACCTATTTCTTCAGATTCCCAAAATGCTCGCAAAATTTCGTTAATTGTCGGTTCTTTGTCCATTTTAGTATGTGACACCAATTTTGAGATTGATGCATTTTTTTGCACGTTACCTACTATTACCCAACCTAATGATGTTAAATAAGCACTGGGAGTACCTCTTATAATTGAGGGCTCTGCTGGCGTTAAGTCTAGAACTGATTGGATTCCTAACAGTATATCTATAGGAGATGAAATATTAAAGTCAGGATCCGCTAGCTTTACACAATCAAATTCCTTTTTAATATCATCAGATAAATTTAAATTTGGTAAATTTGAAGTTATACGTGACAATATTGTTGCCTCAAAATTAAAAATAAATTCAGAGTTATAAATGGATCTTATCTCACAATTGACCTGTCCACGAGGTTTAATTAAGTCACCATTCCCAATTCCCGTTATTTCGTATAGGCTTCGTTTACGTTTTAAACCTAATCGATTGGATAAGGACATGGTAATAAGATTAGATTGTGACCCGGTGTCCAACACCAGTCGACAAGGCAACCATTCACCTGTTCTACTTTTTATAGCTGCTCTAGCAGTACCCAATAAAGTGTCATAGGATTGTTCCATGGTGCATGATAATGCTACTGAATTTGAAACTACTTCTCTTTTAGAATCAGATACCTCTAAACTATTCCCTTTATTAGAAAATTCCTCATCATGTAACAAACTATTATGACGAGAACTGCCACATTGACTGCATTTTATCCTCATCCTACATTGTGCTATTCTATGGGGATATAAGCAAGCGTAACACAAATTTTTGTCTTTGACAAAGGCATGGCGCTCTTTTATTGGTAAAGAAATAAACTTCGTACACTTCGTCAGCTTACCATGATCGCTTTGTGAGCAAAAAATGCAAGGTTGTGGGGATATTTTATTTTCATTCGAGCACCTCCCTTGCTGAGAAACCAAAGTAAGTTTCTTCTTGTACAAACTTTTATTATTGATCTTGTAATCAACGTTATATGTATTTGCGTTCGTATTATCTACGTTTAAACTTGACCCTACTAATTGTGACACTGAACACTTGCTTCTCAAGAACTCAATAAAATTTTTAAATGTGGGAAAGTCTGTATCTAGATATTTTTTTTCGAATTCTTCCTTAGATTTACTATCTAATAATTGTAAAGATAATTGGACAAATATATAATCGTCTAAATTAGGTATCTGCATACCTCGTAGAGCCGTTACGTTTGTTTGTAATAATTCGCACAACTCAGACAAACTTTCGTATGAATTGTTACGTAAAGGTTTCAAATTAAAAATCGTTCTTAAGTAATGATTTGCAATAATACGCTTATTGGTGTATCGTTTTATCATTTGATTGTAAATCACCAAATAATTTTCTGGCGAAAAGCGTACAGTTTGCGCCAGCTTTAGTGCCGAATTTTCTAAATGATTTATCAATATGGTAAATTTTTCTATATCGGAATAAGATGTATTATGTACCATAGCATCAAACATTGCTCGGAATGCGGGAAATTTTTCTGGAGATCCGTCAAACTTCGTGAAATTAATATCGCGTAAAGATAATTCCTTCTTTACAGGTGACGGACCGGAAGATGTTGATGGTGATTCGTTGACCGGTTTACTATATTGACTAGCATGTGCTAAAATTTCATAATAAATGCTATCAAAATTTGACTCTAACTGTACGACATCTGTGGCAAATTCGTTGTGCTTTTTGGACAACATAAATAATCTATCCAAAATCTCTGCAAAATCGTCGCGTACTTTATGTAATTGGTCAACCCTTACTTTAAATTGCGCTAATTTTTGTGGTAAATCCCTGGTCAACTCATAGCAATCTTGTAGTTTACGCCACAAGCGTTCTTTATAACCTGTAAGTTTGATAAATGCAGCCTTATCTTCCCCACTAGGCGCAGACATTTCTTATTTACTTAAATGTAGCAAGATATCACAAATAATAACCCACGAATATAATCTTTGGTGATGGTATGCGGTAATACTCTATGTCGGTAATATGGTATCAATAAGTTGTAAATTAATAAATCAATCAATACCAGAGCTGCAAAAACCAATTAATGATAAACAAACCCTATCTAAAAGAAATATAGTAAAATTGTTCACGTTTTCTCAATCTGAACATAAATAATTTCTTTTCTGGCAAAATAATCAATTTAATAAAAATCTACTAATCAAATCAATCGTTAGTCGGTTATCAACAAAATAGTAGGTACCTTTTATGAAAATATTCTTTTTACAAAAAGAAAAAACCCAATCCGTTTCTCGACAAAATATCTAATGAATTTTCAAACCACGCTCTGCTACCAATATGTTCAAAAGGTGTAAAGGAAACATAAGGAATTGTCACTTACTGTTTGGTATTCGACTTCCTTTTCTTCGGGAGCTCCCTGCGGTAAACACCTTTTTCTGGGTTTCTAAGCACTTGCGTTGTAGAATCGCAATTTTAAATCGACGTTATAAGGATCGCTCGCGTTACGCGCCTCAACGAAACCAAAAGTGATCTCCTGGTAAGGATAGCAAGGAAGGGGAATGCGTTACTTCTCCCACTTAACTTTAATTTGAAATTTAACTAAATTTGAACAGTCATCCTGAGAGTCTATTGTGCTTCCTATATTCTCACTCCCTAAAGACGTCTGTTCATAATCTTTGCGGGTGGAGCATTTTGAGGTATTCCTGGCTACACAAGGAACCTGTGCCCTGAAGTATTAGACACCTCACAACGGCACTGTATTATGCTTATGTAGAGGTGTTTCTCCTTCCTCTCCGCACCTCCTTCACAGAGTGTCTGCTTCAAGGCCCATTTTGTGCAGATGTCTTTTCATTTGACAGTGCCCCCTGTGAATAGCTATAAATGATTCTTACTGAACTTCAGCAGGTCTTCAACCCGTCAAATGGAGGTAGATCTAGTAGAGCTTTGACTTGTCTCGTTCAAAATGGTTTTCACTCTTCCTTAGCCAGTCTGTCGGCCATTTCGTTACTCTTAAGAGCAGTGTGCCCGTGCACCCACTTCAGCTTGACGTTATTATTTTCCGCCAGCCGGGTAAGGTTTCAGATGTACTCCAGCATCAAGCCGGAGTTTGGATCTTTAATTGCTTGCCTGACTGTCAGTGACTATCGAGATTCTCTTGGAATATTGTTGCTAATGGCCGAGACTGAGAGACTGTCTACATCCTTCCGCCCAATATCTCCAATACCCACTCCATTTCGGTTGCAGAACGGTCTGTGTAGTAGATGTGTCCAACTTTGGGAATGATTTTTCGTGCTATCACTCGTCCCTTGTTGGTGGGCACTTTTGTGACGTACGTTTTGTAATGTTCCTAGGGGTCTATCAAGCCGACACTGTAAACGTTGACTTACCCTTTACTTACCGATAGCAACTGGGAAAAACTACAAGCAGAGCCACCTACCTTTCGAGTTGAAACGTTGGACGTTTCGCGGCACTTTTGAATTTGGATGGCAGTCGGCTCGATATGGATGGCACGAATGAACTGAACTCCTACGTTGTGTAATCGGTTCTTTTATATGTTGGGACGTGAGACATAATCAGGAAGGGAATTAAATAAAAGACAGAACTTTTGTGCGTAAGAAATGACAAGAACAAATAAAATATATTACGCACACAACAAGACCATGCCAGGGAAACCTTCTACGGAACAAAAACCTCGGCATAGGCCACACAAATACATGAAATAAATCACCTACAGTAACGAAATGCAAGAGAAAGTACACATAAATACAACATCTTAAATTGCATGATAAATCTCAGGTAATTGAATCAAATGCAATTAAACAAGTTCATAAAAACAAAATACACAAGACATCATAAATGCAGTGGAAAACATGATAAATTAATTCAGTACAAAAACACATCAAAATACCTGTACGATCAATTGAGCTACTAAAACTCGTAAAATAATAAATGGCATGTACATAGGAAACATGTAAATGGCGTGGCTCTACTCCAGCCTTCCGTAGTTTAATTTTAACACGAAAAGTACATGTGAGAATGCCAATGGCCAATAGCAAGTATTCATGTGAAAATCGATTATCGCTCAAGCAGAACATATTTAAATAGTGGAAATGGTAATGAGAGGGCCCCTGCTCGGATTGCTAAGATGCTAAGAACTGCAATCCGCACGAAATGAGCAAACAATACAGCGAGCCGTTCCCGATAGAGTGTCACGTGGCAGCAAAGAGTATTATCAATGTATGCCTGAGTGTTCCCTTTCCCGTCGAACTTGGCGGTGGATAATCACCGTTGCTTGTCGACCGGGCTGTGCTAAGGAATTGGGGATCAACATTTCGGCCGGTCATTATAAATGGAGTGCTTCTGGTCTCTGCCATACTTTTGGTACGGCTTCTTGTAAGGGATGACATCTTAGATACTCGAGTAACACTGATTGGGCGTCAATTTGTTGTCGTCGATTGAGAAAGAACAGGATGTGCACAATCATTCATCTTCATCATTAGAGCACCTCGCCCTAGGAAGCGCTTGTAGTATTAATAGCGTGAAGTAAAATTCAATCGTTTGAAGGCCGACTGTGATCTATTAGATGCCATTCGGATGGTAGATGAAGAGGGTTCGTTGCGCGTCACGTTCTCTGGTGGTATTTGCGAGTAGCAGGTGTTGAAACTGAACGATCTTGCTCTGAGGGTGCCAAAATGCCAAAATTTGATGGCGTTTCATGGAA